CGCGAGCATATGCGTGTCATCGTCATCGGATGCTGCAGCTAGGAGCTAGACAAATTGCTAGATTTCCCCAGATTGGCTATCATTCCTGCCTCAATCTGTTGCGGGGCGGTTTGGCATCTCGGGCGGTGGGCTCTGCTGTAGCTTCTGCTCGCCGCTGTGACTCCACATCGAGAGACTCCCACAGGATGACAGGGTATCTATCTGCTTGTAGCTACGGGCTGGCCCTTCAATTCAAGCTACACAGCAAGCTCCACCTCTCAGCAGTAGTCCAGCTGCAGCGCATCGCGCAAGCTCGCTCTCAATTAGATGCTTCGCTCTCAATTTCACCAATAGTTATTAATATGCGGTTTCAAGTGGTCCATCATGGAAAGCACGTATTTACATCTCACTCCGGAACAGCTGACATTGAGAGTGATGTGTAGACTACTCGACTAGGTCGACTGATACTCTTTCAAACGGCCACTGTACAGGTACGTAACCCGTCGGCAGTTTCGGACGGCGGTGAGGTGGCTTTCTCCGTTGACAGCCCTGGCATTCTAGGCACCAAGTTCGAATGTCACGGTTCATTGACTGCCACCAATATTATTATTGTCGTATTTTTTCGTCGTTGGACGAAATGCGAGGTGTCCACCTGGAAGAGCGTGATCACGGTATGCGTGCATCACTAAACCGGTGAGGTCATGTGGGACTACAGGTTGATCACTAAAAGTGCTTCGTTTTCGTAGGTGTCCTGGCAGATACGACTTAAACAGTAAACCGTCTTGTATTGAATAGTACGACATTGATGTTGCCGTTTCGTTGTCTGGTAGCGGTGCTTTGGCGTCTAAGACGTAGACTATTGATTGGACGTATTCGCCGTATTCCTCGGCTTGTTGCTCGCGCAATTTCTCATGGTCAACAGATTCAAATACTTTCGTGGCGCTGACGAAATTTGATTTGACTGTGAATAATTCCCGATCACTAAGGACTGGTTGCACATCATCCAATTTGTCAGTCGAGACTTGGTATGGTCTGTTTGGCATGTGTTGTTGCAGCTTTGGATCGTCCGGTACATTTCGGCAAATCGGTGCAAGGTTCGGCGCAGTTCGTTCTTGTTCATTATCGAACACGAAAAGTCGCGATAACGTATCCGGCACTACATGCAACTTTCCCGGTTTGTGTTTTACCGTGAAATCGAAGGATTGCAGTGCTATTGCCCATCTAGTGAGCATATTTGACGTGTCTTGCATCGTATAAAGATATCGCAATGCCGCATGATCAGTTACGCACGTAAAATGTCTACCCCATAAATAAGGACGCCAGTGTTGAATTGCTAGAACAACAGCATAGCATTCTTTCATGGTGGCAGAGTAGTGTTGTTGGCTTTTGTTGAATCGCTGGCTAAAGTATGCTACGATATTCACGTCATCGCCATTCTGTTGTGCCAGGAATGCTCCTGCTCCCACTTCAGATGCGTCTACGTGGATAACAAACTCTTTAGAAAAGTCCGGAAAATGCAAAACAGGAGCGTTGGTGAGTAATCGTTTCACTTCGGCAAATGCTTCATCATGTTTCGGACCCCAGCGTTTCGCTACCGACTTCACTGCGTCTTTCTTCGTAAGGTCGACCATTGGTGCG